ATTTTCTTCAATGCAACTCATTACCTTCTGTCAGCAGAGTCAGTGTTTTAAGTCCAGTGTTTTAAGACAAAACATATTGAAAAAATGTGGAGTTGTCTCCTTCCATACATGTTAATAACTAGTAAATAATTAGTAATATGGTGGAAAAACAAAGACATCAAGGAAAATATCTAAAACTTCAAGTTCCACCACTCTGAATACTGACCAACGAATTGACATACCAGTTTATCAATCCTCCAGAAACAATTTATTTGATAAGCCACTGGCTAGTACTTAAAGAATTATTTCATAATCCTAAAATTAATATCATGATTGGCTAATGATTATCACTAGGTTTACATTTTAGACATATAAGAATCAAATAAAAAGTAAGGCAATTTTGAGAAAAGATCGTATTATTTTTTCCCTTTCATAACAACATGTTATTGCCCCCAAGTGGTAAATATTAGAATTTCACAATATACTGTTTAATAAGTGTTCTATTGTAGGAAAAAGATACTAGTTACCTCTCTTTCAATTAGATCTTCTAATGAAATTTCATCTTCTTTCTCTTCTTTCTTTTTATCTTTTTTCAATACAAATCCAGGAGGAAGCGCATGACGATACATGCAAATATCACCCCCTCCAGGGCACACCCAAAACCAGCCGTATTTGTTGTTCTCAATAGCTTCAAGGAAATGCTTGCACACCTACAGAGACAGTATCATTCACAAGCAGTGGCTCAGTGTGGTCTATTTCCAAGGTAAATGTTAGGTATTTGGAACACATATATTCTTAGTCACTTCTTTAGGCTAACCACTTACACACAGAGCACCTTTTGTGCAGTAATGTACACAAAATCTTAAAATACTTAACACAATGGTAAATTCCCTTTAGAGTGGATCTGTATAAAATGTCTATATTTGACATTGTTCTAAACTAAATTCTACAAATAGGATTTGCTGCCATTTACCTTTGTAAACGTACTCTGAAAGTCTGGTATTTAAATATGAAAAAATATAAATGGTTACAAAAAATAAAACCAGTAACTTTGTTTTGTTTGATCTTTCCTAAAAACGAATCATATGCAGTAAAGATTCAAACAGTATTTGAATTACATGAAATTTAGGCAAAATCTAAGAAGGGAGTAAGGTACAAAAGAAACACAAAGGATAATGAACCTCCAAAATATGAATGGGTGCAAGATGCAACTGTACTGAATGAAGCCTTAAGTAATACACTTTACAAATAAGAAGGAAAAATTAACTAACAAGCAATATTCTTTCCCTGAAAAAATACAACAGAGGTGTACCTAAAACTAGTGTTTAGAATTTTTTTAATACAGCAAGGTTTTTCACTGTAACTGTAGTAGAGATAAGGATGTGGACATGAATGCAGGATCTGGGAAATAATAAGGCACCAATTTTTAAAAGTTCATTTCCTGGAACACCAGAACTATTATCTACGAAATGCTCATTTTGCAATTCGTATGTAATAATATTTTCACCTTTGTGATTGAATGTATCCCTATCATTAAAACAAAGTTATGAATTAAGCAGGTTAAACAGTTCTCTCCATCCAGTTTGCACAAAAAAATAAAGAATTCTTATCTGAAAATGTGATTATGTTCATCTATTTTTGAGAAAGTAAAACCACCTCAGAAAATGGCATTTGAAGGACTTCAGTCACATGGTTTTCAAGAGACTTCTGAACAAGAATTTTGTATAACTTTCACTTGTAAAATCCAAAAACAAAGCTTGATACACCTTATCTTTATGAAAAGACCCAATAACTTAAAGAATAACCCAGTAGACAATAGCAGCAAATACCTTGCCACATAATTCTCCCTATTGATAAATACCACAGCTACTCAATTCAAGAAAAGGACATACTATTTGAGTTTTTGGTTTTTTCTTTTCCGCCTCACCGTGCTTCTTGTTCACTACTTCTTCCAGTTTTTTCTCATCCCAATTATCCATAGTATCTAAATAAAAAGAAATATAAAGAAAATACTGTAATTTTATCTACTGTTCCCAAAACACATTGCATATGGCCTTACACAGGAGAGCAGTATTAAAAGACTCATAACCTAATACATTTCCTTTAAAACACCAAAGATAGGCATCAACAATGTTGTGAGATTATTCACCAAAATCTAAGTAGATTAGGCAAATAAGAAGGTAGTACTGGAAGACAGGGTAAGAGACAAATTCAAAATAAGCCACTGTTTTTTTAACATCTTCATTTACTTAGTTCAAGGGCATAATATGGTTAATTCAGATTTTATGAAGAACAACAATTATTCTTTAGGACAAACACATTCCTACTAAGACTATAACAGTCTTCAAGCTACTAAATTTCTTAGTAACAACAAAAGTAATATACATTTACTTTTAAGAAAATATCTTATTTAAAAATACCTTTTTCAAGTTCTTCATCTCTTGCATCAATGTAAACACTTCGCTTTTCACACTTTCTCTCCAGAGTCAAGTCATGAGAGAACTTACACTTATCTCCTTTAGTACACTGTCCTTGCTTGAAGAATGCACATACAACAGATTTGGGATCTGCACCTAAGTCAAATGGCATATAGTATTTGCATTATAATCTGCCAGATCATCGATATGGATTCTATCTGAGATACAATTACTTTCAGTTAACTAGTTATTTTTTACTCACTGCTGTGAGAGGAAAATACCACGTACAGATGAATAATAAGACATTTCTTTAAAGTTCTTTCTATAGCATTTTATATCTATTTTTGTTTCTTTCATTCTTACCAAAAAAGAGAGCAGGAGGTGGGAAACAAAGCAAGCACATAGGTTATTCTATAATCACTTATCTAGTTGGAGTCAATAAGGCAGGAGGCAAGAGAAATATAAATGGAGGTATACTGCTAAGAGTTTGGGATTTACAGTTTTTTACAACCATAGGTTTGCTTTGGCTACTACCAAAGACTGGATACTATAAATCAACTAGTAGACCGCCTAAATCCTTAATCTTGCCTTAAGTGGAAGGTTAATGGCTGGAATTACAGTTGTACAATGACACAGCTGTGCACGTATATAAAGGAACCATAAGAATGTCAACGATACAGATAATTTTGACAAAGGGAGCATCATTTTCAGGGCAGACACAATCAGCTTATAATCTGAAGAAACTAAGAGTTTTAAAACATGAGTTACATTTGATATAAATAACACTTCTGAAATTCAAAGTTTACCTTTACTTATTTTTTGAGCAGCAACTACAGGTTTGAACAGCTCATTTAGCTCTTGCAATTCTTTCTTCTTGTCATCTTTCTTCAATTTCTTTTCAGCTTCACTTTGTGCTACCTATAATATTCCCAGGTATAATATGTAAGTTTGATTTCATATAATAAAATTGTTTTCATTACACAGTAATATATATATAATATCACTGACATAACAAAGACAATTGCATATTTTATGTATGCAGTTCTTACTTCTTAATATCAGTGTTACAACGGCCTTCAGTATATATTAAATGGTGTGGTTAAACTATTAAATGAAATTGCTAAATCTTGTAGCAATTGACTTTTATAAAAAAAATTTATAACTTGTACCATGCCAAGTTAAAAGCATATTCAAAAGCTTACAGCAATAAGCATTAAGCATATGCTACATGCCCAGCATTTTTAGCAAACAGTTCTCACCTGGGATTTTCTTCTTGTGACAACAACCCACTCCCCAGAAACAAGTAGGTGCATTATGAAGATCAGAGATACAAACATCCTGAAATGCGCAGTCCCCAGAAACAAGTAGGTGCATTATGAAGATCAGAGATACAAACATCCTGAAATGTGCAGTCCCACACAATAAAGAATTGTACCAACCCAAACACCTATAAGTAATCTTGTAGAAAAATACTGGACTAGGTCAATGTGGGAGATTAAACAAAACAAACACGAAATATGACATTACTCCAGGCATACAATTTACATACCTAATATGATTAGAGGATTCATCCAAACATTTACATGTCAGGTCCTATGTTAGATGACAGGGAATACAAAGATGAAAAGACAAAGATGCTTATTTAAAGAAGCTCAGAATGTAGAGGGAAGACAGACATGTCAACAACTATAATACAATACATGGTGTCTGGGAACAAAGAATGCCTATATGCTTAAGAAAATTAGACAGATCTAATACTTTATGGATGAATTATTTTGATGGGCAAGAAATACAGAGAGCCAACCAATGCAAAGGTAGGGACCAGAAAGTACAAAGTATGAAAAACATCGATGAGAAATTTGGACTGTATCAGTAGGTGACAGGGTAAGACTCAAGAGTTTAAAATAAGCTAGTGACACAATTAGATTATATTTTATAAAGATCACAATGGCAACTTTGTGAAAGGTGGACTAGAAGGAGCCCAAGAATGAAGGTAAGGAAAATTATGAGGCTAATGCAATTGCTGTAAGCAAGAAAGCACAAGAGATTCAAACAGGCATCAGTAGCAGGGATGGAGAAATGGGGAAAGAGAGCTCTTAAGGAGGTAGAAATGTTAGGACTAAGTGACTGACCGGACATGAAGTTTAAGGGAGAGGGAGGAGTCTAGGATTATCATATATATCGTTAGTGCTGTTAAGTGAGACAGGGAATACAGGAGAAACAGGTTTCAGAGCAGGATATGGAGATGAGCTGTTTTAGACATACCGGATATGAGATGCTTTACAGGGCATCTAGGTGGAGCTATGTAGAAGGCAGCTGAACATAGATCTGGATTCCTGGAGAGAGGGTCTAACTCTGCGATAAAGATCTGAGAAATAGCTGCCTACAGATAACTAAACTTTAGGTGTGTGTGAGATTACACAAGGACAGCATAAAAAAGTATTAAGAGCAGAGGACAGTTCCCTGAAGAATACTAATATTAAGCCAACAGAACCCAAAAAGCCCATTAAAGGGACAAAGAAACTTCAAAGAAATAGGTACAAGTCCAAGTCAAAAAAGTATTAAAGGAAGAAGAAATTTTAGGAAGGGAAGGGCCAAATACAACAGGGTTAAAGACATTCTAAATCCTGATTTTGACCATGTGAATGGATGTATTTAAATAGAAAAATGGGAAAAAAAATTTTTAAAAGAAAAAATTACTGTCATTTTATTTTAAAAATAAAGTACTCTTTGCTCATTAGCCACATTTCACACATTTGCGGGGGTCAAACCAAGAGTTCAATGGATGCTTGCAAACTATTTTTTAAAATACTGTTAAGTTAGAAATCAAACTAACGTGAAATAAAATATGGTTTGTACTCCTACTTGACAAACATATCTTGTGACCTAGAAGGAAAAGTTCAAATTTAAAATGCTCAGGTTTCATGGAGTTCCACTCTGGAGCACGGCAGTAAAGCAAGAATCAACCCCTGGCTCCTCCTCTCGTCATCTTGAGTTTCATCCCACCATGTGTGTGCAGGGAGGTGTAAGGTGTAGAAGAGGACATGGTGTGGATCCAGGCTCTGTCCACAACCCTAGCACAAATCCTTCCTTTGACTGACTACTTCAGGCATACTGGCAGTGTAGTATACCCTAAGACGGACCTGGAGTAACAGACCTTTGTAGGCCCTGAGCTGTTGTGGGGAGAGCTATGTCTGGAGGAGATATAAAGTACAGTCATCTTCTGCAGCATGGGGCCTAGGGTGGGGCATCTCTTGCCCAGCTCTAATAGCAAGACTGTTGCTCATTTCCAGTGTTAAGTATGGTGGTTAGGTACCTCATGTTCACAGATAAAGGGCCTAGTACTCAAGAAATATCAAAAATATGTTACTGAATGTACACTCAAACCTAACAACCACAACAAATTTTATGGCTGTCTCAGGTCTATGAAATCTGAAATTACCAGTCAATATACTTTCCACTGGAAGAAAAAGGAGGGGAATCAGGTTTGAAATGAATGCTTACATTATGCCAGAAGATTTACATTATCTTCTCATTTAACCACTATATGAACCTAGAAAGGTAACTGCTATTTCACTATACTACAAATTAAAGACCAGTGTCATTAAATAATTTAAGATCATGTAACAAGTAATAGGGGGATGCATGACCAAGATGATCTGATTCCAAGGCTTGAGCATACATTTTTACTAGACCAGGCTACTAAGTCAGCAATGTGAAAGATCAAGTTTTTGGCTCTAGAGTCAAATTGTGTGTAAAAGAAAGAAAAGTGCTGGAGGAACCAATTTGTAGACAGCATCAGTGACAAAGGTTAACCACCTCACAAATGTATATTCTGATATTCCCAGATGAAAAAAAAGGTGTCCCCAAAAGTTAAGGAAAAAGAGATTAGGGTGGTGAAAAAACTACTTTTTAAAATAAAGGTCCATGGCTATAAAATCTTAAACTCAAGAATGTGAAAGAGATACAGAAAATTAAGAAAGAAGAAAGGAGATTTGAAGAAAATGGAGCAAAAAATTTTTTGAATGAGTTGCCAATTGAGAAATAATTTCAAAATTTACATGAAAAAAGAAATGCCTAAGAAAACTAAAAAAAAAAAGAAAGAAAGAAAAGGAGTAATACTGGGCAGTGGTGGAGAAGGACTTGCCTTAATAGCTAATGTTACTATGCCACTGTTAATAAAAAATCAGTGTGATACTGGTTTAGGGAAAGATATAGAATATCTTTCTATATAAATAGAATAGAGAATCCATAAATAGATCCTAACATATATGAGACTTATTAATATATGTAATAAGGGTATTTCAATTGAATGGGATAAACGATGCTGGTGTAAGTGGCTATTCATTTGAAAGAAAATAAACTTAGTATCATATAAAATAAATTTATATGATAAATTATAGACTGCAAATAAAATAATTAGGAAAAAAATCTAGGAAAAGCACACATAATCTAGCAGCAGAGACGTTTTAACCATATAAAACAAAAGCTAAACATATCTGACAATACAAAAACTAAAAACTGTTGTACATCAAAATGTAACAGAAACATCATAAATTACCTACAATTAAACAAAAGGTGTCTCTCATAAACTGATAAGAAAAAGACAAATAACTAAAATAAAGTAAAAGATCTGAATAGGCAAGTCAGAGAAATTCAAACCCAAATAGCCAACAAGCATATGAAAAGATATTCAAACTCACTTCCCAGTAAGGGAAACAAAGTAAAAATGAGGTATCACTTTATACTTAATCAGACTGGAAAACATTAAAGAACTGTAGTACCTATAATTCATGCACTGCAAATGAAAATGTGAAGCATTACAATCTCTACGGAAAGTGATCAGGCAAATTTATTAAAATTAGAAATCCATTTCCCTTTATTTAGAAATGTGTCACAGGTACTTTATGCTACAGAAATAAAAGCACAATTGCATGTTAAAGTACATGTAAAAGGATATTTCTTGTAGAATTGTCCTAATGTCAGAGAACAAAGTGATCACTTGTAAACAGTGAAATGGATGTAATACATCCACATCCTAGAACAGTATGCAGCCATTAGAATAAATTAGAGCTATATGAAAATGGTTTGGAGGAATATCCAGGAGATATCACTGAGTAACAAAGGCAAAATGCAGGAAAGTTTATAGCGGATTCCATTTTGAAATTCAATTACAACGTCAAACATTTTTATCTGCAACAATGCTGTATTACATCCATATATAGAAAATGCAGACATTTAAGTTATTTACCTGACGTGGATTTTGTTGACCAAATTTAACTTGATGAGTGACAGCCTTGATAAACTTCTGTTGCTTTGCTCCTTTTTTATTCTTTAGACCGAAAGTTTTGTCCTACATGAGGAAAAGTATTGAAATATCTTAGCAATTTACATTAGTTTCTTGTCTTCTTTCAGTCATATCTAAAAATCATTCTTTCATTTACCTATTGGTAAGAAAATTATTCTTTCCTTTATGCTATATACAGACATGTAAAAAACTAGAACATCAAGGCAAGGCAACATACGACCTCAAAACACCACCCAGGATTCAATACATACTTAAAACTACCATCATCAAACTTGTTACTGTGTGATGCTTTTTCTGAATTGTGCTTTAGTGTATCAGTACAACAGGATGTGCAGAGTTGTTTCACCAGGATAGTAAGTCCAGCAGTCAAGTGAGTTTAGGAAAATACTTGCTTAACAGGGCTTTAAATTCTTAAACACAAGATATCTGAGAACCTTTACCAGAGAGGATACAGTAGACAGCAATCCCAAATCTTATTTTACCTCAGAAAGCATTATTCTCAGAATTTCTGAGGGATTATTCTGCGTACTACTGAACACATTTGGGGGAATACTTAAGAAGATACATTAAGTTCTGGATTGATTTTTTTGGGTAATAGGGTTATCCTCTCAAAACAATTAAATTTAAAGAACTCAAACTACTAAAATGTATACATTATTAGCTGTTGCTAAAATGAAAATATTAAAATTGAAATACACCCAACTAAAAAGCAATTTTATTTAAATTTGAAATATTACTAAATTATAATTTGGGAAAGTTATTAATACAATAGCAGCTTTCACTTATGTGCAAGGCACTAATGGTGGTCTCTTACTAAGTACGCAGTACAAAAACACTGAGAAACCACTGAACTAGTGTGCGTTTGGGGGCAGCAGTGGGTTGAATAGTGTCCTCCCAAAATCCCCGTCTATCCAGACCTCAGAATGTAACTTTATTTGGAAATAGGTCTTTGTAGCTGTAATAAATTAAGATGAAGTCAAGCTGGATTACAGTGGGCCCTAAATCCAATGACTGGTATCATTATAAGATGAAAGGACACACAGACAGAGAAGGCAATGTGAAAAAAGCAGCAGAGATAGGACTGACACAGCTACCAGGCAAGGACTGCCAGAAGCCACCAGAAACCAGGAAGAGGCAAAGGAGGATTCTTCCCTAAAGCCTTGCGAGGAACATGGCCCTGTCTGCATCTGATTTCAGATTTCTAGCCTCCAACCTGTGAGAGAATAAATTTGTTGTTTCAAGTCACCCGGTTTATGGTAATTTGTTATGGCAGTCACTGGAGACACAAGAGGCCTGACTGAGTGGGCTACACTCTATGGTGAAAGGGTGGCAAGGCTGTCAGGAAACCACCAAACACTGGTATCTGAAGTCCTTTTTCCTGTCTTTTCTCTCTGGAGAAGGATCCTCTAGCTAGAAGAGCAATAAGCCTGGCTAAAGGACTGTTGAAGACAGCAGGTGGGAAAAGGTGTCTCTTAGCTTGCTGCACAGATCCTTTAGTGGCCATTTTCAGGCTCACATTTTAACCACTCCTCTCACATCCTTTGTGCCTAGAGTTCCAGAAGCAGAAAAGCCTCTAGATTTATCCCCCACCCTGCCCCGTTTCTTGCAGGAGTAATCATCTGGCTGAATGGTGGTAGATATGAACTATCAGCTACTTCTACACTTTAACCCTCAGTTTTCAGCCTCTTGCCTTCTGCATTACCTAGTATCTCCCATTGTTGCCCTCTTACAGAATTTTGCATAGCAAATCCACTTGCTTCTCAATGGCACATTCCTAGGTGGGCACTCAGGCCTGACTGCTCTTCTCTACTAAGTCAGTTAACCAACTCATCGATCTACTATCAATGTTCATATGTTGAGGTTCAAAATTATAGATGTCTCCTAATTTCAAGATGGAGTTTCTTTTTCTCATTCTCTTGTTTATAAGTGAGTTTCAAAAAGGAAGAGGCAAAAAGGTCTTAGCTTTTGAAAGTCACCTGAGATTCTCTAAGAGGTATGTAGTCCGAAATAAAGTTGCTATTTTAAATCCTTTATTTTGGTATTATTTCTAAGGGAAAAGATAGGGTAATGGGAAGAAAGTATAACAGATAGAGAATACTTACTTATGTGGACAAGCTGGAGATGGAAAAGACTAATAAAACATATCTTTCAATGTTCTTAAGATTGCAAAAATTCAAGATGTTTTACTTCTAAAAAGTTATTTCTCATTGGGAAATATCTCTTTATTCATCCCATCTATATCCATCTATATCCCAAAACTTCAGTTTCCCCTACTTAAATGCCTATGTTTTAATACTACCTCATATTACAAAATCCTACATGAATTTTCTATAGCCTATGCATATAAAAAAAGGTACTAGAAGGTAAACAGAAGTTGAAATTTTCTGCCGGGGTTTTTTTGGTTTTGTTTTTTAAATGAATAGCTTCCCTTGTTTTTACAGAGAAGAGTGTTTAACACTCAATCCAATTAGAAGAGAAGATGTCAAGGGTAAAGTGACAATATGGAAAGATGATCATACACAGCAACAAGGTGAGAAATGCCATCCTTTCCTTTTTCCAAAAGTAAGCTCTTAATGGGGGGATGGAAAAGTCTAGATAAAAATATTATCAGGATCAAAGTGCAACACCATCCACATATGCCTCAAGAGCGTATCTGGGGTTCAACTCATGCCTCATAAGTAACTACAGAGAGGAAACAATCTATGAATAAACAAGGCCAAACAGCAAGGTAGATTCTAGACATATGAAGACTTAGGAAAGAAAAAAGTCCTCTAAGGAGACCTGGCCAGCTAGAAAAGAAAGTACTTGTAACAACAGCCTGTGGAAGGGGGGTATAAGCTCCAGATCCCAGAAGAAAAACAGTTTTTCAGGTTTAATTACACTGCTTTAGCACATAATTAACCAGTCTAAAGAGATAATGAATGAGTTGTGTTTTGAAAGTCTCTAATTAGGTTAGAGCTTGGAAATCATCATTCTTTCCAGAGATAAGGGATACTTATTTATCTAGCACTCACAAAACATAAACTCCTGAATATATAGTTTTTTGAATCCTCTTAACAATCCTATGATATACGATTACCTCATTCTGTAAATGTGGATATTGAAACTTAAAACTGCTGAACAATTCTTTTGAAGTAACATTGCTAGTAAGGGACAGGCTGTAGAGTGTAATAATTTAACAGTATAGAATAAGCTCTAGAGTCAGACTACCCAAGTTCTAATCCCAAATAGAACAGGGTAAATTAGCTTCTTTGCCAGTATTATTTGCAAAGTGGGTCTCACTCTAACCTCTTAGGATTGTCATGAATGTTAAAAGATTCACTACAGGGGTGGAGCACAGTGGTTAACTGCAAGGACTCTGGAGCCAGGCTTCCTGGATTTGAATCCTGACTCTGCCACTTGCCAGAGTTGGTTGGTACAGAGAGTTTTTGAAATACCACACTGTGGACCTAGGATACACACAGTATCTCTTGAAAATAGGATAGTTTGCAATTCAGAATACTTCTGAAAGCCTTCCTCCCTTTTACTGAGTTTAGCACAGATCCATACCTAAAGATTAACCTGGATGGATTTAAGGGTCAGGTGACATGAGACGGGAAAAATGGAGGCTACACTCAACCTCACAGTACCTAAAGATTAACCCGGATGGATTTAAGGGTCAGGTGACATGAGACGGGAAAAATAGAGGCTACACTCAACCTCACATCATGGTTAAAATAAAACTAGGGAAATAGTGGTCCTCATTAGGTTAATAAGGTCCCAAAAGTTACGTGATACAGAAGGAACAGTGTATGTTTCAGACTTGGGAAATTAAATACAAAGGAGTTTAGAAAACAGGCAGTATTTCTAAGAAAAGGATGGCTCCCTGAGGCTCCAAAAGCTTAACACTCAGTGAACTCTATAGACTTTACTTGAAACAGACACATTCTCCCTCTTCCCACCCTTAAGTAATCCTGTTTCTTTTACAGATCAGCCTCCATTCTTTAAATAAAACATTTGAAAAAAGGAAGGCAGTGGGAGGGCAGGTCAGTACTAAATAGTGCTCCAAGATAACTGGAGTCTTCCTTATTGGAAACTAGGGGTAAGCAAAGGCCAGCACTGTTTTACCTCTTTAGTTTCCCCCTTAGATGCACTCTAATGTATTTTTGTTGTCCATCCATGCAATGGATATTCTGCAACTGGTTAATTCAGCTTTAAGAAATCAGCAGTTGACCTTGGCTGAAGTTTTTCACTAGCAACAAGAATTTCTCTTTCTGTACCCTGTGTACACCTGGATTCTATCCCTATAGGTCTCAATTACTACTTCCTTGCTGCTACAAGTCCTTAGTTCGACATCCTTTATTTGCTTACCCTAAACCCAGATTATTTCTCCCTTCCAATTACCAAACCTTCCATTTTCCAAAGCTGATTTCAGTTTATTAAATTTTAGCCAAAAGAAAGCAAATGGTATATGCCATTTGAGACAACTGTATAAATGTTTAACTGAATTATAATCCTTTTTGATATACTCATTTCAGAAAATACTTATAAATGCAAATGAATTCATTGAATTTTGGAGAGTTTAAACAGGGAAGAAAAAAATGCAGGCACTACAGGGAAATTATTTCAAGTGATAGAAAGTAAGCACTGTATAAACAGTGCAGATTAGTCTGATTACTTCTCCTAACTAGTTCTCATTTATAACATTAATAAATTAACAACAGCTACGAGTTACTGAACAAAACCATGTGTCAGATACGTTACATATGTCGTCTTATTTAACCCACAGCTCTGTAACATAGGGATCAGCTCCATTTTGCTGGTGAGAAACTGTGGTCAGATAAGTCATGTAACTTGCCTAAAACAATAGTGTTTGAAATTTTAATGTGAAATACGGGTCTCAAATCCAGGTCTATCTGGCCCCAAGCTGGTGTTTCTTTCATTAAATTATTCTGTCTCTCATGCCTTTTTTTACTTTCTTCACTTAAGAGTTCTCAAATGCTATATGTTGCTGTTTTTCTACAGGTAAGTGCCTATGATGGTGGCAGCGGAAGCAACAGAAATACGGAAGTGAGGATAGGCAGGTACGGCAACCACTTATTTTAAAGTCTCTTCAAAAGTGCTGCTTAAAAGCTTTTGTTCTATTTAACTAACAATTTTTGATGAACTTAGAATTTCAGGTCATATTCCTATAAAACCTTCCAAAATTAACCAAACTCTGAAATAAGTATTAGCTTTTTACATGTCAAAATATAGATTACAAAAAACATTTTTTTCACAAAACTTATGGTCATAGAGATCAATAACTAGTATGAATATCCATTTAAGTATGTCACAAGATATATTTTACTTCACTAAAAAGAGAACTACCATATGACCCAGCAATTCCACTCCTGGATACATATCTAAAAAAAAAAACAAACCCACTAATTCAAAAAGATACAGATACCCCAATGTTCATATTTACAGTTGCCAAGATATAGAAACAACCTAAGGGTCTATCAACAGATGAATGGATAAAGAAGATACTGTGTATTATACAATGGAATACTAATCAACCATAAAAGAGAATGAAATTCTGCCATTTGCAGCAACATGGATGGACTTGGAGGGCATTATACTAAGTGAAATAAATCAGACAGAGAAAAACACACTGTATTATCACTTATATGTGGAATCCAAAAAATACAAAAAACTAGTGAATATAACCAAAAAGAGGCAGACTCACAGATAATAGAGAACAAACTAGTGGTAACCAGTGGTGGGGCAGAGAAAGAACACAATATATGGTTGGGGGAGAGGGAAATACAAACTACTGGGTGTAAGACAGGCTCAAGGATGAACACAGAGAATACAGCCAATATTTTGAAATAACTGTAAGTAGAAAGTAACCTTTAAACACTGTACTAAAAATTAAAAAGCATGCAGAATTTTAAAAATATATATTCTACTTCATTTTAACTGTTAAAGGCTTTGGTAATAAGAACCCTTTCTAGTATTCAGAATTGTACAAATCTATACAAAAATTGATAAAGTGCGGTTCTGGATGAAATCTGATTGAAGAGCTGGGAGCTAAGCCTGCTGTAACTCTCCTCAACCCCTTATAATAGTCACTGAGACATGCTAGGGCTTTAGGAAAGTTAAAAAAAAAGTCACCTATAGTATTCAATAAAATGGAATATACTGCTTCCTAACCAGCTTAGATAACACAGTATTCTCTATAAATCTGGTTTCACAAAAAATGATATAACTTAATCTACAACTTACAATATTGTCATACCTCTCCGGTGGTAGCAAACATTCATGCAGCACACTACCATTAAAAAAAAACTTACTACCTTTAAAAAAAATCGCTCATCATATGCTAAATGTGGGGAAAGAAAGGCTTAATTTCACCGTTCTCTTAGAATATTTTTGGTCAGTTAGAGAATATAGTTGTCTATTCTGCTTTCTTTTTTTTTTTTTGGCGAAGCCTTCATTAATGAAATTAAAGTCTCGATCTCTTCACCTTAAAAATAACCTTGTTACAAGACGAGTGGAGCCATAATATACCTATCATTTTTACTTGATGGGATACAATAAATAACGTTTATGTACAGTTCCTTAAAATAAAAATAAACATTTATTTAAAAATAAAAACTGTATACAGTTAAAACTTGGTAATGTATAAAATATACTTCAAATTGCCACATAACATTTAATTTCACGTCTATATAGGAGTTTTACTTTGTCTTACGGTCTAACATGTTAACTCAACCTTAGTAAAAGAAGCTGACAAGTAAAATGTCATCCTTAAAATACACTTGGTTTACACAGCACTTAATACCATTAGATCACCATAGCCAGAGATCTACTTAAGTGCTAAGAGTCCAGATTGTTCAAAAAGGTGATAGCAGACATAGGTGTGAAGGTGACAATCATTCTGTTTTCAAATCTCTAGTGATGTCACTTCAAGACAGTTCTGAATCGCAAATTGGCAATAAGAATACAGGTTCTGCTTCAGAGCTGGAACTTGGCCAAAGCTACTAGAATTATAAATAAGCATGTGAGTTAAATCCCATCAGCAAACTTTAAAAATTTTGTGAAATCTGACAAATGTAAGTTCTGATCAGGTTTATACAATGAAACCCTGAGGGCTTTCAATGATATTTTCCAAGACTGTAGATACTGAATATTAAAAACAATAATCATTTATAAATCAACATCTCATTTCGAAACACCAGCATGCATCTTGGTGGTGTTCTAATAAAAAGTTAACTATTCCACAAAAGACTGTCCATTAATTATTCAGATATTACCTTATGCAGGAAAATGGTCATGGCTTTTCCAATCTAAAGCACACGAGGACCTATTTAATCATGAGAAGGATTAACAGCAGGAATCGAGGGAAGAAATATCTTATTGGGGGATGTATGATACTTTTACGGAATTGCAAATACAGTTCACATGGAAACTCATACAGTCGTCGGAGAACAAACATAAAACATTTGAGAACGTCAATAGCGTTCCCCTGCTTTTATTAAAGGGCTATAGCCTCAATGTACTAAGTGAACACACACACACACACACCTTAAACAAATTCAGGCACGGTACTCAACACAGCTAATGACATGAAACCTTAATCTCTTAAAACGTCATTCAATTTAACTCAGAATCTACGTGACATGTACAGGACGGGAGGCTGCGACATGAGAAAAACCTCCTCTTTTTATGTAACTTCAAACATTTTAGAGATTGATCGAAAAAGCCACGAAAAGAAGTAATTTGTTGGCTTGAAAAAACTACTCCTCCTAGATGATGGGTAAAGAAAAAAGAAACACAAAGGCTCGTAATGAATCGGCCTTCTAAAAAGAGTCTGGTCCGAGCCAGTTCACCGTATTTTCTAAAACACAAGCGTAGAACGGTCTTCAGTTCTGACTAGCGAAGAACACAACCCCGTGGTGGGCACTGGGTGGGGGTGGGGGGTCGTTTCGCACTGGAGTGGGTGAAGGCGGCCGTGTGGGCGGAGAAGCAAGGGCTGGGTGCGGGGGCACCAGCAGCGTCACTATAGCGGGGAGGGGTAGCAAGCGTCATCGGGGGCTGGAGAAGGGGCAGTGGGCCACACAGAGCCAAAGGGAGGGGCACGTGGCCCGGGAAGCCGCGAACAGGAGCCGGAGAGTTGAGGAACTGGGAGGCTGGTTTCCTGAGGGCTTGCGGCGTGAGTGGGGGAGGGGGTGGGTACTCACTTCGATAATCTTCTCCTTCTTTTTCTGCTCCGCCTTTTTGCTGCCCCCGGCCTGAGCCTGTTTCTTGGGGGGCATTGCGGAGATAGGTGGCACCGGCCGGACTTAAGCGCAGCTGGACACCGTCAGGGACTCTAGCCCCGCGGTAGGAGGAGGAGGAAGACGCGCGCCGCCGTCGCCGCCGCACCGCACGGAAAGCTAGTCGCTTACTCGCCGCCTAAACGCGGCCTTTGCGACAGGTCGCTGCTGCAGTGCATTGTGGGTAGCGAGGACTGGCGCCCGGAAGCCGAGCTGCGCGTGCGCTTCTGCCGCGGCCGGCCGGGAGCGGGCAGGGACGGGACGTGGGAAAATGACTACGCGTCACACGTGATGTCGCTCACTCACCTGGCGTTTTCTTGGTTGCGGCAGGCCTGGTATGGTGGGGGCAAGTGGGTTGGAGCACACTGCGCTTGTGTTCTCTCTACGCATTCTATTTGGCCGAGGATGGGCAGCGCTTGTCCATCTTGACCTCGGGCGGAAGCTTTTCCTGTCGTCTGGTTAGTGTCCGCCTGTACCATACTGGGTGCCCACCGAGCAGCCACCCCAACTCAGGGCTGTATGGAAGGCCAGCGTACCCAGTTACCTTCTTCTCATGTCCGGGTCGGGCAAGGCCTCCTGGCCAGCTAGCGGGGCGTGCTTCAGGTTCCTCGGAAGGTTTATGAAGAAATGGACAACGTTTTGTTTTATTTGAAGAATGTCTGGCGTGGCCGCCCAGAGAAGGGGGCACTTGAACTCCCTTGGCGTATTATGTTTATCAAGTTAATACCAGATTTAGGAACGTGTCTAGATGATTCCTAAAAACCCCTTTGTAATGTGAAGTTTACCAAACCTCGTTTGAGGATGGAGAGTGCATCACTCAACCATTTTCATTAAGCTCTTGATAATCCAGGAACGACTTGGCACATTAGACAGATTATTTTATTTGGTTACAACAGCATTGAGGAAGGAGCTGTTAATGTTTTCATTTTAAGGTGAAGCACAAGAAAAGAAAAATCATGTTCAAGGTTATGTTAAAGGCCGAGCCAGGGATTCCTGTGACTGATAATACGAAAGTAGGTCCTGTTTGAAAAAACACTTGATAAATGAAGGAGACCCATTAATATTTGTACAAATCAAAAATACTATCTTTTAATAATATACAATGCTTGGATGTTACTTTTGTTCCATGATTACTGTTTAAATTGTTTCTGTTAGGAAGCTTTGTTTCGCCAAGGATCATTTTTCTACATAAGAGTTTTAAATTTTTCATTAACTTGCATAAGTAGAAAACTGCAAGTCCCTTAAATTAGTGCGATTGATTATTTGATTAGTAGCTGTCCACATAAGATAGTGTCAAAGAATCCTGAGTGTGTGTGTGTGAGTGTGTGAGAGTGTGTATACACAGACATGAACTTCACCTGGGATTCTGTCCCAGGTTGATGGATTCCCCTGTCTTTCCTTCTTTATTTACTCACTTGTTTATCTTTTGTTATTTCCATGGTTGTTCTTGTGAGACGATAGAGGGACCCTGCCTGATTCTCTATTCAGTATGATAATCTTTTTGATTCATTGGGGATCTTCTTTAAGACTTCCTGTAGGAGTGGACAGATTTGACCTAAGTTTCTCTTTTTAGTGCTCCCAAGGATACACTTTGGGTCCTTTTTTCCTTTCCTTTTTTTTTTTTTTTTTAAGAATTTTATTGGTAGTCATTCTTATGAAACTGAAGAAATACGGGAATATTACAAAGAATCTAGAAATTCATAAAATAGGAGTGGCCCCAGGTTCATAGTTCTTAATTCCTTCTACTTCTGACCTGTGCTTTTGTTTCTGCCCTGAAGTTGTGATCTAGGTAGAGGAAAAAGATCCTGCCTTGCCTTAAGAGGAAAATACACATTTCTAAATATAGTACCTGCTCTGATGGCCCTCCTTCCTCATAGTCCTTTTTTATTCATTTCATAGGTAAGAAAGAATCTAACTCATGGAATTCAGTTTTCTGAAATAAGGTAGTTGATTGTTCCAGTAGCAAATGAAAGTAGGATTAAGAATTCAATACCTTCTACTCTACTTTATAATTCAAGCTAAACTGCCATAAAACAAAGTTGAACGTGCAGTCCAGGAGTTACAAATTCAAATTCCCCAGAAAGCAGGGGTATAAACATGGATATTGGGATGAATGAAATACATTAGGGAATAGTCAACCAGGGTTAAACCTGAGGTAAATGCCCACTGTAAAAGAGCTCAAAAAAAGTGTCAATCCTGGCTGGTTGATTTGGTAGATAGGCTGTGGATTTACTGCCTTGAATGTGGTCCATTCCCATAACTTTAATCTTTAGAAGACATCAGAGCATATTTCTTGGACCTGGGTCTCTAGGCAGTAGGATGTTTGGTACTGAAGTAAAAATTATTCTTTTGCTACCCAGTGTCCAAAGGTGCTTCCTTAGTAGAGTTAACAATATTGTAATACAACATTATAAATTGACTATACTTCAATTAAATTAATTTATGCAGAATAAATTTTAGAATGAATAATGAAAAGGCTCAATACTGTATTGTATACTTGAAAATTGCTAAGAGTAGATTTTAAAAGCCTTCTCTCTTTCACACACACAGAATAACTATGTGAAGTGATGGATGTGTTAACTAACTTACTGTGGTAACCATTTTGTAATATGTATGTATGTCAAGTACCACATTGTACACCTTTAAGCTTACACAATGTTGTCTGTTAATTATACCTCAGTAAAGCTGGAGGGAAAGTAGAGAAAAGGGTAGAGATCCAAGATCCAAAACAAACAAAACCAAAGAGAGAGAGATTATCGGTTATGTTAAAATTTTACCACTTTAGAAGCTTTCCCTCATCCCACAGAGCCAGATTCTAGTTACATATTTTAGGTTGGGCAAGCAGATTCTTTCCACCATCTCCCCCTTAGGCCTAAGATTTCAATCTCAAAGGAATGAGACAAGACTCGGGAATAGTTCAGGAGTTCTTCACAGCATTAGATGAATACATTTTATTACAAATCCAGTGGTGGTAGGTAGGCCAGTGGCAGTATCTGCTCTAGACTTTAATTCTATTCTTTGCTGTTATCTTGCTTTTTTTGTTTTCCTAGCCTAATTCTCCAGGCTTCCCAAGATTCTGGATTTCCTAAGGTTTCCAAGATTCTTTAGATTCTGTGAGCAATATTTCCAATAAGTTTCTTTTTACTTAAATTTGGGTTGATTTTAATTGCTTGCAATGAAGGACTCTGTTAAGGGATTAGTTGTGCCTGCTGCCTCCATCTAAATTCATATGTTGAAGCACTAATCTCTAGTACCTCAGAATATGGCTATATTTGCAGATAAAGCCTTTAAAGAGGTAATTAAGTTGAAATGAGACTCTTAGAGTAGACTCTAATATTATCTAACTGGTGTCCTTGTAGGAAGAGGAAATTTGGATACACAAAGAGACTTGTGTATGTGCACAGAGAAAATACCACATGAAGACACAGCAAGAGAGTAGCTATCTGCAAGCCTCGGTGAGAGGCCTCAGAAGACCCTAAACCTGCTGACACCTTGATCTTGGACTTTTAGCTTCCAGAACTATAAGAATATAAATTTAGTTGCTTAAGCCAACAAGTTTGTGATATTTTGTTATCACAGAAAACTAATACACATCCTGACTGATAAAAGGACCAAACTAGGCTGTGGGTGTTGCTATTATAGTGAGCAGAGGCAAGATTACTGGTTTATCTAAATAAATTCTTGTTATTAAGACAAGAGTAATTTGGCCATGTAAGTTGCTGATCTATTTTGTGGGCTGAGGCAGTACATATTAGGAAGTATTTTTACTTAAATATTGAATGCTTCAAAATGCTTCTGACATGTAGGCAGCTTCCTTTAAGAGATTTTTTTTTCTCTCCAAAAATAATAAACTATTACAAAAGATTTGCCAATGTTTCAGTAGAGCATGTAAAATCTCTTTTAACTTGTCAGTTTGACTTTCAATTCTATAAACCTTCACTTCAGCCTACACTGACATAAAATTTTCTTAAATAGGTGACTTACATGGGCAACTTGCCTGTTTCTATTTGAACTATTTCTTGGTACCATTATGATAATAGTTATTATGGCATTTGTCAAGAAATCAAGATGTACAATTTCCAAATATTGTTTGCTTCATTGACTCTAAAACCATTTCCCATGATTCCCATCAGTCATGTCATTTCCCAAGAAATAGCTTTCTGATGGTTACCCATGTCCCTTTGAATTTAATACAAGGGATTCCACACTGTCCTCAGCTCAGTGTCTGCTCTTTATCTTCTGTTATTTCAGTTTATACTCCCCATTTTAGGCCAAATCTTCCTATTCCTCACCTGCACACCCCACCTAATACTTTCTGCTGCCCTAGAGCTTTTCATAAATACCGTGGTCGTCCCTTATCCATGGGGTAGGTAGATGTATATTCCATGACCCCCAGTGGATGCCTGAATATACACTATGTTTGTGTATACACAATGTTTTTTCTATACAATACTAATGGACGGGTAGTTTATATAGTACGGGCATGCAGGACAAAGGGATGATTCACGTTCTGAGCGGGATGGCACAAGATTTCATCATGCTACTTAGGACAGCTACTCAGAATGGTGTGAAATTTAAAACTTAAAAATTGTTTATTTGTGGAATTTTCCCATTTAATATTTTGAGACCAAAGTGGACCATAGGTAACTGCAACCACAGAAAGCAAAAAGCCCTGGATGGGAGGAGGGGCACTGTAGTAATATGTATCTAACCCAAAACAAAAACTACCATCTGCCTTCCATTTAGGAACCATAAATAGAAACTTTGGTGAGTCATTTTTGATCCCTTCTTCAACCTCTAAATCCAGTCAAGTCCAATTGACTCTACCTCTTATATATCTTTCAAATTATGCCTCACTACTTTATTTCAGGGTCACATCTCTTGCTTGGCCAATTGCAAGAACCTCTTATTCTCAATTTCAAAATTTCTGCTTCATATTTATTCTTAAGAAATTAGTAGGCTGCTAGCTATTTTTAGTTAGCTGATCGTAAAACAAATGAACAAAGAAGAAACAGGCCATAATGGATGGATAAGACGTCATGTGACAAAGTGTTTTATAGACATTCCAAATAATGTTGGGCTATTACGTAAAATATAATCTTATTTTCTGTTAGAAGCATTACATTTAGGTT